CCCCAAAACCCCAAAACCCCAAAACCCCAATTAGACTCATAAAAGATGAAAATTTCAAGTAAATAATAATCCGTTAAATATAAAATGCAGGTTAGGTGTAAATCTAGTCATAATGTTGAAGAGATATGACAAATGAATGGGTCCCTTCAGAGATCTCAGAGTCATCATGTTTTTGATAACACAAAGTATAGGGAGCATTCTACAACAGCAGGTATTTCAGCTTATTTTCTGATGTATTAATGGGACTTTAGAAACTCTCACAAATAAAATACTCAGTCGCTTGAAGAAATTTGATAATGATTTGACAACATCAAAAGAGAACCATAAGAGAAAGTAAGGCCTTATTATTATAAGTTTGTAGAAGAGAAGTCTCACTCAAGAAGTTGCTCAGATCTGCGAAAAGAAGAGGAAATTCAGCTGTTTCTCTAAGTGCAAGACTCTCTAATTGGCCTCAGCAGAGTCAGAATCAGCCTCAGATGAACTCTAATTACTCTTATAAGCCAGTTATGTCAAGCTCGAGAAGCCAGAGAATGAAGGTTCTGGGTGATAAGTCAGAGAATTCTTCATCAACACCAAGCACAAGTAATGTTGATCATTAAGCAATAGATCCAAAGAGAAAGAGCTATAATTACAAACCAAGGAAGATCAATCAGATATATGAAAACCCTCTCAATTCTAAAGTGCTGTTAGACATGATCGAGAAAAAGCGAAGAGGAGAGAATCTCAACAGTCGACCTGACTTTGGCCCTTCTGCTGGCAGCTTTTCACCCAGTGAGAGTGCTCTCTGCTCTAGAGCTTCTGTTAAGTATGATTATAAAGAAGACCCTCAGATTATTGCCAATAATCCCTTCAATCAATGATGGTTCGTCTTTGGAACTAAAATTTATAGGTCAAAGAATCAGAGAGAAAAGATTTTAATTGAAGGAAAAGTCTACAAGTATAACATGGGTGAAAAGAACCCATTCATGGACAGATGGCTGCAAATAACCCAAAAGGGTTTCCTTCGGGTTTACAAGAATCACCTCCAGAGCTTGTCAAATCCTAAAGAATACCTTTTGGAGGTTCCTTTAGAGAAGATAGAGGAGGTTAAGAAAATACATTTCACAGATGACCACTTAAGTGACAGTCATTATGGAAATATTCCGAAGTACTGTTTCATGTTCTTATACACAGAACAAGCTATTCAGGAGTAAGGCATAAACTCTTTCCCACTTTTCTAATTGTTTCTAGAATCATAGAAAAATCTGAGCAAAAGCTTCGTGAGGAATGTGTTCAGAATAAGGAAAATAATTGCCATTTCCAAAGAGTAAGCACTCATAAGAGTCTTAAGAAGCTTCCTACAAACAAATAAAGCTAAGAAACCATTGAAGATAAAGACAAAGGAAGAAAGCGGCTTCTTCAAGTGAAAGATTAAGGCAGAGAATGAAATTGTAAGCCCACTATTTTAACTCTAGATCCTTGCTGCTGGTAATATGGCCCACACACCTAAGTTTGATGAAGAAATCAGTAGGCTCCACAATCCTGATTACATCCCAGACATGAAAAAGTGCTCTAAACTGGCAGTTGAGGACAACTGGATCAAGAAGCAGAAGGAAAAGATCATCAACGAGAAAAGACTTCTTTTTGCTGTAGAGGAATCTGACTCAAGAAGGGACTGGATAGAGACATGCTCTAATCTCTTAGAATCTCAGAGAAAGTTCATGTAGCCAATAATTCATTAATTCATTTCAATACCCTTTAGGCAGCTGGGGTTTTGGGGTTTTGGGGTTTTGGGGTTTTGGGGTTTTGGGG